AAGAAGGACAGCTTGACTTCTCCTTGAATTGTGGGATGTGACCACATCCTCTTCAGAGACGTCTCGCCGTTCCTCGATACCATGAATGGTCATTCCAGGGATTGTGCTTTATGTCCTGTCACCTACGATGGGAAGGCCCATTCTTGTATATGAGGCAACGAACGACTGCTATCCGAGTGGATTTGACCAGCATTAATGAACCGCATTTATGAGTTCGCAGATCAATGAAGTGCCTGTCCGATCACTCGTACTGTGCGTGACCGCCCGGCGTGCTTTGAGCATAGTGCTTTCTCCTTTCCGGTCAGGAGAGGCGGTGAAGTAGGTGCGCAGTACTCGAGTGGGTCTAGCCAGCTTGCCGAGTGCCGGCGGATCCAGCTCTCGGCTCAGACAGCCGAGGTGAGTCGCATTTATGAATGCTCAGGTTGACTCGATACCTGTCCAGTCCTTCGCGCTGTGCGCGCCGCGAGCGGCCGTTTGACGGTCCTGGGGTACTGTGCTCTCTCTCCCTTCGGGTCGAGAGAGATGGGAAGGCCCATCTCAGCACGTGGGGTAGTGGATACCCAGCTGTACTGACGGTCTTGGGGATTGCTGGCGGATTCGACTCTGGACTCGGGCAGGCGAGTTGAGTGAAAGGCGAACTTCCGCCATCCTAATCGATCTTAACTCGTGCTGGCGAGCCGACCGTAAGGCGAGCCTAGAATCAAGCGTATCCGATTGTCTATGCGATTTAGGCCCGTGCCAGAGAATCGAGCGTGCGAGCTCTTCTCGCAGGCGAATTTCCTGTAAGCCTATAGAGGTACTTTTTACCGTCTACAAATACCACAACTCCTCAAATGATGGTCGAATTCTTGGCTCAGATATTCACCCCCTCGATCTGATCGAAATGCCTTTATCTTCTTGCATGTTTGTGTCTCAACTTCATGCTGAAATTCTTTGAACTTTTCAAAAGACTCAGATTTATGTTTCATTAGGTAGATATACCCGTATCTACTAAAATCATCAGTAAATGTAATGAAGTATCGATAGCCTCTCCTAGCTTCTATGCTCATAGGTCCACACACATCGGTATGTATGAGAGCTAAGAGCTCAGTAGTCCTTTCACTTGTACCTTTGAAAGGTGACCTTGTCATCTTACCCATTAGACATGATTCACATGTTTCAAATGATTCTAAATCAAATGACTTTAGGCTACCAACTGTTTGGAGTTCCTTCATGCGTTTAATGCTAATGTGGTCTAGGCGACAATGCCATAGATTGGCTTCACTTATGTCATTCGACTTTTGCCGTTTTGTATCAACGTTATAAACTTCAGATTTCAGATCCAATATGTATAATCCACTATTATTCATATGGGCTTGAGCATAAAAGATGTCATTCTTAAAAATAGAAAAACAATCCTTAATGACAAAATTATAACCCTCAAGGTTCAAAACTGAAATTGAAATCAAATTCTTAGTAATAGAAGGAACAAAATAACAATTATAAAGTTCTAAAACCAAGCCAGAAGGTAGCGGTAGACTATAATCTCCAATGGCAAGTGCAGCAACTCTTGCTCCATTTCCAACGCGAAGATCTATCTCACCCTTCTGCAACCGTCTCCTATTTCGTAGTCCCTACACATTCGAAATAATGTGAGAAACACAACCGGTATCTAATACCCAAGAATTGGAGTTAGTTGATAAGATTTCAATGACGCAAATACCTGAAGCAGAGGCACCCCTCTTCTTATCTTCCAGATATTTGGGGCAGTTTCTCTTCCAGTGCCCCTTAGCCTTGCAGTAGAAGCAGTCATGCTCAGCAGCCACCTTTATTTTAGGTGTGTTTCCCTTAGGTGGAACAACTGTCTTGCCCTTCCCTTGAGACTGTTGCTTCTTCTGTGGCCCTTTCTTAAACCCTTTCCCTTTGTTGACCATAAGAACATCCTTCCTAGGTTCAACCAAGACATTTTGCTCAGCAGTTTTGAGCATAGCATGCAGCTCATTGAGGGTCTTACCCATGGCTCCCATGTGATACATCTGCCTGAAATTGGCAAATCCATCATGTAAGGAATACAGGATCATATCTGTAGCCATCTCAACATTGTAGGGGTTCCCAAGTCGAGCCATCCTGTCAAACAGGCCTATCATGTGGAAAACATGTGGCCCCACTGGTTTCCCCTTTTCGAGCTTGCTTTGCAATATGGACTTAAGGGTCTCATACCTCTCAATCCTGGCCTGCTCCTTAAAGAGATCTCTAAGATTTCTCATAATTATATAGGCATCCTGATCCTCAAACCTCTATTGAAGACCCGGTTCCATGGCATCCAGCATGAGGCAAGTAACATTCCTTGACCTCTCGCATATTGTTTTGTGACGTGCCTTATCCTCATCAGATGAGTTGACAATCAGCTCTGGGATGGGTGTTTCTAGGACATCCTCTTGGTTCTCAGACCTGAGAATAATTCTCAGATTTCGTTCCCAATCAAGAAAATTGGTGTCGTTCAACTTGTTTTTCTCAACAATTGAGCGGAGCGTGAATTTGAGGTGTTCAGTAGACATAGTAACTACAAAACAGAAATTGAAATATGCAGATAAATTATGCTTGAAATGCAAAAAAAATTATTTTAGACATGTTCTAAATAACAAGTTATTGCATATTCTACTCAATATAATATTGTCCCTTGTGAGTAAAATAATTCCAAGATCCTATCTTAGATGAAACTTGAGCGTACTAAGGCACTTCCCCAAATCTCATGTAATCAAGGTAAGTAAATGCTTTACTAATTATAACACTTTATAATTCTTGGTTGATGGCCACATCATATGTTAACTCATCCTTATGCCTCAAGATCTAAAACTAAGTCTTTTGGCCTCTTGTTGAGTATAACCATATCAAGGCAGCATGCCCCTATTAGACATACCCGCACTATCCCAAGGTCAAGGAAGGACACCTCGCTAGGGCGAAAACTATCCAACGAATTCCAAGGGCCTCATGGTTATGACATGGAAAGGCATAATCTCAATATTCTTTTAAGGGACTTTTAGCATGTAATGGTTGTCTATATATAAGCGAACTAAATAATATAAATAAACAAGCATTCATGCAAGGCAAGAGATAATAAAAACATTCACATAATGCAATAATAAAATTTGAATAAACTTTCTTGCATAAATTTAAATTACAAAAAAAAATACATAACGATACGCAGATCGTGTTTATCTATCCTAATTTGGGCCATACTAGTCACCACATGCAATAATATCATAATATTAAACATACATGCAATAATCATATATGAAATGTTATTCAAGTAAGACATGCAATTTATCCAAATAAAAAGCATAAATAATTAATCATATTAACTATTTAAAATTAGAAACGATTTCTCATTATTTTAATTCAATAAGACTGTGAATGGAATTAATATCTAATATTAATTAGTAATTTGCCAAGAAATAGAATCAAATATTTATGTTAATTCAAAATTAACCAAATAATATATCTATAGATCTTATAGAACAATTAAATCTTTATTTATCAAATAAAATATCAAATATTTTATAAAATAAATTGTATTTATTATGCATTAATCCAAACATATGATCTATGCTTATTGAATCTAAAAAATCATGAACATGCATCAAATTGTAAGATTAAAATTTGATCCAATTAATTTATACAAGAGTCTCTGATACCACTGTAGAAACTTTAGATGCTCTAAGCGGAATTGCAGGAAACGTTTTCCTAACATCTAAACGAAGGATCTATTGCATAAATCAATTGGATTAAGAAAAAGGAAAAATGATTACCTCTTGATGCGTGTTCAAAGCCTTCTCTAATGGAGAGATTAAGAGTCTCAATTGAAAACTCCTCTAGTTGATCCACCCGAGCAAAGATCTGGATCCTTAGAAATCAACTGCTAGGTTGAAGATGAAATGTTTTTGGGAGAGAAAGTAGTAACACTTTCACGTATATAGAGAAAGTGGAATTGGATTGGATTTTCTAAAAGAAAAACCACTCTTATTTATAATCCACAAATTAAAGTCATATTTAATTCTATAATTAAATATAATCCACTAATTAAAGTCATATTTAATTCTATAATTAAATATAATCCACTAATTAAAGTCATATTTAATTCTATAATTAAATATAATCCACTAATTAAAGTCATATTTAATTCTATAATTAAATATTATCTTTTATAACATTTATAAATAAATTTATCCTTTATTTAACAATAACTCCTTATTATTAATAAACTCTATTTTGAAGTTATATCTTATATAACTTTATATTATATACTTTATATAATAATTCTCCCAATATATCCAGTCCATAAACTCTTAGGGTGTGACCTCGTAGGACCCAATTATAATAGCAATGAACTTTATAACATAAAGTCCATAAATCATAGTTGGCTTCTAGCAAAGCACTATGACTACCTAAAATAACCGGATTGTAAATCTCCATTAAATGTCCCATACCATAATTAGTAATTGCACTTACATTCGATTAAAGGACACAATTCCTTCAATAAGCTACTGGGAATTATAAACTAAGCTGATTATAATTCAAATCTGCCAAACATGCTCTTAAGGGTTCTCTGAAGAACTAATTTTGAAGCAACCTATACGGTTCTAGGGAGACAGTAGAAACTTCAATGATTTTAGGGACTAATCTCATAATATGAAAAAGAAAATCTAAGGGACAAAGTTTTAATTTACGAAAGTTAAAAAAAAATGGCATGAAAAATATTCTATGTTAAGGGGGTATGTTTAAAATAACAAATTGCCCTTTCATGCTATGGTGGGGGCATCAATTCGATTGACATTCTCAAAGTTGCACGAACCATGAACATGCCAGGCAACAAAAGACAAGGTAGAATCTCTGTCCCTTTCGTTTAATTAATCATCATCATTTATTTTATTTATCTCCCTCTTTTATTTACAAAAAAATTAAAGCTATTTATCTGAATGCCCATTCCAAAATTTTCTGCAAAAATAATTTTCTTTACATATTTTATTGTGATTTTAAGTTCTATGGTTTATCATAAAGTCCAGGTATTCAGAAATAAAAACAGATTCTTTTGGCTTAATTATTTTGATACCCAGATCTTGTTTCCTTTGGATGGGAAAGAAACTTGACAAGATAGTCTAATTCCATTTTGCTGGAACCGCTACTTTTAAAGCACAACTCCATCATGGGTAAGGATCAAACACCTCATTCTTCCAATTTCCCAGCGCTAAATTCAATATTTACTCTTAACAGTTTCGATATGTGGTAAACATTATGCCATTATTTGTTGACTTAGTTGGATTTAATCATCTCCTCTGACCATTGAATCCTATAGAAATTTCCTTTAATTAATTTATCTTCATTTGGCCTATGCTTTTGTTTTGAGACCTTGTTCAAAGGCTGAAAGTTTCACTTAATTTGGTGATGCACCCAAAGAAGCCGTCCTCAACTGGATTAAATTGTTTATTTATTTATTTTGGACAATTTCGGTTGCTCCCATACTGATTTCCTTATATAGAATCTTTTATATGAGAAATTGCAGTCCTTAGATATGAAAGATTCAATTGAATGGTCTCTTTCACTCTTGGGTTCTTAGTCTTTTGTTATCTCGAGATGTTATTCAAAGTGCTTTGATAATTTCACCTTTGATCTCAAAATGGGTATTCTTACTTTTCACTGTCTTATGGTGAATCAATGCTCTTATTAGTTCACACAGAATCCTTCCCTCTCTATCTCATATACTTTATGATGTTTAGTCTGCTGTAGTTTTGGAATGCTTCACGCTTTTCAGAATTATTTCATTCCCATCTCCTAAACAGAGCTGACAAGAACAAATGACTTATTCTTATCTTATGCTTGAAGTCTTGGGGAATATAGGGGACATGATTCTGCAAGTAGAACCTCTTAATTCTTTCGAATAACGTAGGCTGTTTGCTTTTGTTTTGTCATATATAGAATTTTGAAGTAGATTAGTCCTCGTTCTCGTTGGGGTTTGTGGTTTGTCGATAGATTTGATTGTTCTTAAATGAATACCAACAAGGTCAGGCCTCATCTATGTAATCTTAGATCATCGAGTGATGCTCAATTTGAATTGGTGAACTCTTCATGTGGAAATGTTAGTTCAAAAGAGAGATGGACTCCTTTAAAGCATACTCAGAAAAATATTGGTGATTCTATTGGTTCATATATGCAATCCGAGGCGGCTTCATCATCCCTGGCCTTCATGCTTCCCAGTCTTTCGAATAGTGGTGCTAAATGTGTTGGCTCGACTCTTGATGCCTTCTATGCTGCTGAAAGATTAATGGGTTTTCCTAATTTTGGGTACCAACTTGATACTCTTCCATCATTCTCTCAATCAGCAAAGGATTCTTTGGAATCTCAACTCTCCATGAACTCAGAGAATCTAAGTGATTCTGTTTCTTGTAGAGAGGGTACATTGGAATCTCTTGTGAAGTTACCTGTGCAGGGGGGTTGCAATTCTATGGTTTTTGATGATGCACAAAGATTTCCAGATGGGAGTCCTCAAAATTGTTTCGTAAGCATTTTTCTTGTTTGCAAAATTATTATTTGAATCAATTGGAGATTTGAGCTTCTTTAATTCGTGTTGAAATAATTAATATAGTATTCGATGTTGTCTTTCATATAAACAGGCTAACTGTATTTCGTTGTGCTAGGTTGTATGTGATCCATTGAATTCTTTGGTAAACGACCCTAGCCTACAGTCTGAAAATGATAAGGGATTATCAAAGATATCTACTGTCGTTGCCCCAAATAAAACACGAATAAGGTGGTCTCAGGATCTCCATGCGAAGTTTGTAGAATCAGTTAATATCCTTGGAGGTGCAGATAGTAAGTTATTCAATTATGCTATGGTTTCTTGAAAATTCTGAGTTTTGAAATATATTGAGATCATTTTGGTTGATTGCAGAGGCAACTCCAAAAGGGATTTTGAAGCTGATGAATTCAGAAGGTCTGACCATTTATCATGTCAAGAGCCATTTGCAGGTACTCATATCGAACTAAAGTACTACAAAGTGGCGTGTTAAAATACTTGTTACTGACAATTAGGTGCAAATGTAAATACTTTGTATGACTCCCAGAAATATCGGTCTGCCAAGTTCCTACCCGAGTCTTCTTTAGGTAAACTTTCTGTACCCAGCTTCCTCCTACAACCTAAGTTCTGTGTAAGAGTATTATGTATGATCTCTTTAGTAAGTTATTATTATGTGTTGTATAATATTGTGTATATAGTCACACCTATCCACATGCATAGAATATATTTCCACTCTATATAGATAAGGAATTTGTTGATAGATAATGAATTTTCTGATTCGGTTATCCAAACATGAATTAACTGTTTATCTATGTTTATTGTTAAAAATATCTTCTTTAGGATGTTCTAGTGTATATATAAGAAATATATATATATATAACTAAACATGCAAGTGAGTCTGTTCTTTTGTTGATCTCTGTGTGCATGCACAAACTCATGGACATGTATATTCGAGACTTCGAGTGAATTATCATCAGTTAGTCAATAAAGTCTTATTCAATGTGTTTATTCTGCATGTTCAAGTGCATTTTGATGGTACAAGAGTTGTTTTTTATTGTATAATTATGTAAAAGTTGTTTAAGTTACTTCCATAATCGCTACATGGTTAAGTTGCTTTCTGCTTGGCATTTTATTCCTAACCAAGTCATGGACTTTTAGAGATGGACTTCTGGTAGTTAATGGTGGAAACTGGAGTTTGTGATTACAATAAGATTATTAAAATTCTGACGCAACACCCTCGTAACTGTACTTATTATATGGTATTCATTTCCAGCACAGCATTTGATCCTTTTTTTTATCTCTATGGCTATATAAAGTGTAGAATGCTAAAAAGTCAGACCCTATGTGGTTGTCTATGTAGAATTTAAGAAACTTGTTTATATTTTACAATTTTTTTTGGATATTTGTTTATCTTGGTTAAAATTTAGGACTAAGATATTAAAATGAACAACTGTGCAATTTCTTCTTCCTGTTAAATGATGGGCCACTTAGTTAGATGGGTTTGTTTTTTAGTTACAAATTACTAGAAAGACAAGGGGTAAACCTGTAATCTTTCAATGTGGAGCATGGTTAGTGCCAACATTTGGATATTTGACGTAGGTCTTCTGGTTGAGGGTTAAAGATAGAAGTATTGGATGTAGCCCACTGTGTTATATACTCAAGTAAATACAGAAAATAGAGGTGCTTGAAACTTTTAGGGGGTTTTAAGAAACTTCCAAAGCCTAGGCAAATTCCTTTTTTTTTTGATAAGTTCACTGTAAATGTTTAAATGCTGCTGATGTGAGGTGCTATTTTTTACCCTTGTAAATCTTTGAATCTTAGTCTTACAGAAATTGGCTATCGATTGATCTTTGTGTGCTATGTTGTTCCATTATGAATTGGTTTTTGGGATAATAAACTTAGGCCGCAAGCCAAATGCTTAAATTAGTGCTTATTTCTAAGTCATTTTTCTTCCTGTTTTCTTACACTCATGTTTTAAGATTTATTAGTAGAGTTTGATTCGCCCTCCCATTCTCTTGTAGGCAAAGCTGATAGAAGAGCCTCAACTAGTGAAGCAGAACAGATTGACCCAAAAACGTATGTACTTCTGCATCATAATCCTATGAATTCGCACTCACATAGGATCATATATAAAAACATACATAACTAACAATATTCCTTTTCTAACTATGCAGTGGTTTGCAAATTACTGAAACATTGAGGATGCAGCTAGAAGTCCAGCGGAGCCTCCATGAGCAGCTAGAGGTACTCCTTGTAAATCTTGTATCAGATAATTCCTTTCAAAATTTTACTCCTCATGCATCTCAGGTGTAGTTTGTAGACGAGGGCAAGTTCTTTTCAGGCTAAAGTTTATGATGGCCATCGACTGGAACTTCTGAAATCTCTATATTAATGTCTTAGTTTGTGGAAAGAAGAAAAAAAGTAGAAAGTTATTTTTAAACATCACACTAAGTTTTTAAAAGATCAGAGACACAGTGAGTTGTCATTTAACAGGCATCAACATTGCATGCCCCAAATAGATGGAAGATTAATCCAAATACACATTGAAAGCCATCTATTTGTGGATGGAATGATGTAAAATTGCTCGTAATTGGCACCATTCTATCTCAAATTCTGCCTGTGCCAAATTTACGATGTATTATAATCTGATTGAAATATCTGCTGAGCTTTTTGTTTAAATGGAGTAAACAGTTATCTGCAATTCATAATACTTTTTCTTTGGTTTCTATGCGTCTCCGTTTCTTGAAAGAGAAATGGATGGTAATCAACTGAATACTGACTATATCATGTAGCAGATGTGTTTCTAAGTAATGATGTGTCCCTTCCATATCTCTTATCATTTTCTTCAGGTTCAACGGAAGCTCCAGATTAGGATCGAAGAGCAGGGAAAGAAACTTCAAAAGATGTTCGAGGAACAACTGAAAGCAAATGGAAGTACCTTTGAGCAAGAAAACTCAGAAACACTTGCTCCTAATGAGGATACAGTATCTCTGGAAGATGATCAAATTTTAATTCCTGAAGAAGGATCCAGGAACACTAACTCGCCATCGAAAATCAGTTAGGGAAAAGAACAACGGGTAACATGAATCTCAGACTTTTTTGATCCCAGGTAAATACAAAGATGTTTAAGATAGGACATAGATTAGATGGAAAGCTTGTTTTGTATTGTAGATATTGGGAAACATGTCTGTTCTATTTCTGTATTTCGTTTGAGATGATGTCTTCTGTCACTTGAAATTTGCATACATCAGTTACTAAATATGTTACCCCCGTTGTTTATCCCTTTCTTGCTGCATTTTGATATACATGTGCACTATTTACTTCCATATTCAAGACTACCAAAACCCTTGTATATTGGTTTTTTCTCTATTTATTTCACTGATGTAGAACACAGTTTTTCAGCATCTGCTTCAGCATCTCAAGCAGAGCAGAGACTCTATGCTTATAAAAAATTTCTGCAAAGTGAGTACATTATACTCAGAGAATAATCACGCAGCAGAATGTCAACAAAGGGCTAATTGTTAACAAATTTCGTATTTTTTTCATTAGAAAACCTGTCAGTTTAACAAGGTGATCAAATATCCATTCATTTCTCTACAGTATGATAAAAATCACACTACAAATTGATCAAGTATCCACTCAATTCTCTGTGTGATAAAAATCACAGTACCAAACCTCAGCTTCCTTCATTTACACAATGGCCACCACCACCACTGCTCCCCTCTTCACTGCCGTCACTGCTGCTCTTCCATAAGCGATCATCACCGGAAACCGGCACCTCCCATCACTCGGATCCACCTCCGTCACCACCCCTAGCCCCTCAAAATCACAGTCCTCGTCCCCCTGTCCCCTCACTTGATAATACATATTGAACGCGTATGATGCGTTCCCCCTCGCCCCCAAGTGATTGCATGATGAACCGTACCCCAATGCCGTACAATCCACTTGCCCGCAAGCATGCTCGACCCCCTCCTTCACCTCCCACTCCTCCACCTTCCCTTCTCTCATCACACACCATCTCCTCTCCATATACTCCACCCCTCTTGCCCCAACGAGATACCTCCTCTTCCCTCTACCCGATATGTCAAGTTCGTATTTCGGCTTGCCATCGTACTCAAAAATCCCCCAATGCCGCTCGAAGTTCCCAGGCTCGATACTCTTCGCGTCCTCATCGAACAAACTGAACATGTAAACCTCGATGTTCGCCCCTCTCCTCATCGGAGTTCCCTGTCCACTCAACACATGGTTAATGAGACCCTGGTTGAACTCTCTGGCAAGCTCGACGTTTGCGTGCATGCCACCATCAGTAGGCCATCCAATCTCGCCTATGACGATGGGCATATCGGGGTACCCCGCGTTCGACAGTGCCCACACCAGAGTGTCAAAGTTGGCGTCAAAGACATTGGAGTACGTGGCCTTCCCGTCGAGGAGGGGTTTCGCGGTTCTGTTGTCGAAGAAGGCGAAGGGGAGGGGGAAGTGGGAGTCGGAGGCGAGGGAGAGGAAGGGGTAGATGTTGACGAGGAAGGGGGAGCGGTGGAGGTGGAGGTGGAGGAGGAGGTCGAGGGTGAGGTTGCGGATGTCGGGGCGGAAGTCGCCAAGGGAGGGGAGCGATGAGTCGGACGAGAAGTAGATGTCGGCATTGAACGGGACGGTGGCCTTGATGTGGGAGGAGAGGGGGGAGGAGGAGAGGGCGGATTGGATGTTTTTGAGAGCAGGGAGGGTTGTGTGTGTGAAGGAGCCGTGATACGTTGCGAGGAATGGCTCGTTGCCGACCGCTACGTACCTGCATTCAAATTTAGGATTGGAGAAAAATTGATGCAAAAATAACCCGGAAAGTTTCAAATTGTATTGAAACAGTGAGTCTAGCTACGAGTGAGAATGTGACTGTGGTAATTGACAGCATAACAAAGCTGCATGAGTTGAGAGAGAGATCAAAGCAAAATTCTACTGAATTCTCATAGAATTGATTTTATATTATTATTGAGGCTTGTGGTACCTGAGGAGAAAAAAAAATCAGGAATTCAAAAATAAAATATATTAAACCCATCCCAGATCCAAGAATGCAGTATCTCAGTAAAAATATTTCAAACCAAGTGACTTTAAACAATACAAAAAAGATTTTTGGTCCTTCACCGAAAATAGGAGAAAATCAATTTTAAAGAACCAAAATTTTGGGGAAAATCCAAGAATTCAATAGAAAGATAAAAAGATGCCTTTCACAGCAAAACTAAGAGCAAATCAATAAACCAAAGTTCAGAACCAAACAGAACGCCAAAATTGACATTTTTCTCTCAAAAAGGTGGACAAGGATAGAAATAAAGCAAACCCAGACCCAAAACAGAGCAACCACAATCGTTTACCAAAAACCCAGAAGCAATCAAGCCCAAAATTTTCTCCCAAAAGACAAAAACAAGAACTCAACATCACATCCTAAAACAAGCAAATTTGCATAAAATAACTCCAAGAAAACAATACCCACTTGATATTAACACCGCCATCGTAGAGATATGCAGTGACATTCTCTGCAACCCACTCAACAGCAGCCTGAGGGTCTTCACTGAGCTCCTGCAGCATGAAATTGGGAATGGCGACCATCACTTCAATCCCAGTGCCAGCGAGAGCTTGGAGAGTTTTCGGGTCGGCGTCGAAAAGCTTCACCTTGTTGAACCCGTTATCGACGAGCATTTGAGCTACAGTTTTTGGAGGGAGGCGATGGGTCGCCATTTGTCCCCAGTTGACTCCAATGCCGACGGATTCTTTGAGGAGCATTGCCGACGAAAGGAGGAGGATGAGAGAGAAGAGAGAGGAATTGATGGGTTTCATTTTTTTTTTCCTTTCTTTTTCCTTTTCTAATTTCTTTGTTCTCCCTATTTTCAGGGTTTTCTTGGGGATGTATGTGCTTTTTGGAGAAACTTTGAAATTTCTGTTTTTGGGTAAAATTACCCTTTTTGGGTGGGTTCTGTTTCTTGAGATCTTTGCACAAAAAAATCTCTTTTTCTTTGGGGGTTTTCGATGTCGTATAACCTGTAAATAAAAACATTTTTGTTTAAAATATAATCAGAAAAACATTGGATGTATCAAAAATAACAATTAAATGACAAATAAATAAATAACATTGGATGGGCGTTTTGCATGTCTATCCCTAAAATATTTGATACTTTAAAAATTATTTTCTAAATCATTGTACAGGCCAATATATTCTATAAATCACTTGAAAATCTATAACCTGTCCTGCATATTTTTATTTGTAGAAGAGATGAGATATTGAAAAAGAAGAATTTAGATAATAAAAAAGGCTAAATATCATAACACCTTACCTTACCTCTGGATAATTATTACATAACCCTCATAACTTTCAAAATATGAGAAAACCATAGGGGTTATTCTAAAACCCCCTTTAACACTTTAAGAATTTATCACAAAAGCCATCTGGATAGAGTTAATTGCAATTGTCACATTTGATTTGGTTTTTTTGGTTTTTGTTTTGGGATTTTTTTTTTTTTTTTTTTTGGTTGGGGGGGGGGGGGGTTTTTTTTTTTTTTTTTTTTGGTTGGGTGGGGTGGGGTGGGGTGGGAGTGGGGGGTTGTTAAAATCATGCCAGTGAATATTTTTTCCAAGGAAATTTTGAAAATTGATGTTCTTGCTTTTATGAGGTTTTCTTGTAGGTGCTAAATTTAAGGGTTTTCTAATATTTTGAGAGTTGTGAGGGGTTATTTGATAGCCATTCAAAGTTAAGTGAGGTATCTCATATCTAGTCTAAAAAATGAGAAGTCGTTTAATTTTTTTTTTTTTTCCTTTTGGCGGTGGGGGAAGGAGTGGGATTGAAAATTATGCCAATGGATATATTTGCCAACGAAAATTTGAAAAATTGGTGTTCTTGCTTTTATGAGGTTTTTTGATAGGTACTAAACTTAAGGGTTTTCTGATATTTTGAGAGTTGTGAGGGGTTATTTGATAGTCATCCAAAGTTCACGAGAGGTATCTCATATCTAGCCTAGAAATTACAAATAGTTTAATATTATTTGTTAAGTTACCACCCATTGAGTTATCTATAAGAAAAGGACATGTATTTTTCCTCTATTTTTCCCCTATTGTTCTTCTCTTTTCCCCTTGTGTGTTATTGTTTGGTCAGTTCTTAAAACCCAATTTGCAAATTAGAAATGTTGCAACTTCGACTTGCGCTTAAATATGGTAAGTCGTCTGGTATAACTAGAGTCTTCTTATAATTCTTACAACTATAGCTATAAGTGATGCAAAATGTCCCCGCTCTATGCGAACAAGGTTATCATTTTGCATTGCATTGAACCAAGTGATCCAAAGTGTCTCGACACTATGAACAAGGTTATCACTTTGCTTTGCATTGAACCAAACAAAAACCAGGAAAGAAGTTGATATGCTTATTCAGGGGTGAATTTATGCATCTCTTGGGGTGCGGTGATACCCCAAAAATCTTTGTATTATATGTAAACCCTAGGTTTTTTATAGTTTGCATCCCCCCACCCCCAACAACCCAAAAGAAGGTGTGGGTTGACAATTATGACAACGGATATTTTTGCCAAAGGAAAATTTGAAAATTTGATGTTCTTGCTTTTATGAGGTGTTCTGATAGGTGCTAAACTTCAGGGTTTTCTGATATTTTGAGAGTTGTGAGGGGTCATTTGATAGTCATCCAAAGTTAAGGAGCGGTATCTCATATCTAGTCTAAACAATGAGAAATAGTTTAATGTCATTTGTAAAGTTATCATCCATTGAGTTCTCTATAAGAAAAGGACGTGTATTTCCTCTAGTTATTTTTCATAACATTCTTCTCTTTTCCTCTTGTGTGTTACTGTTTGGTGAGCTCTTAAAACCCAATTTTCAATTTAGAAATGCTGCAACTTCGGCTTGCGCTCAAATATGGGTAGGTTGTCTGTTATAACTAGAGTCTTCTTATAATTCTTACAACTAGAGTTATAAGTGATCCAAAATGTCTCTGCTCTATACGAACAAGGTTATCATTTTGCAGTGCATTGAACCAAGTGATCCAAAATGTCTCGGCACTATGAACAAGGTTATCATTTTGCTTTGCATTGAACCCAAAAAAACCAGGAGAGAAGTTGATATGCTTAATTAGGGACAGATTTATACATCTCTTAGGGGTGCGGTGGCACCCCTACAATCTTTGTATTATATGTAAACCCTAGCCTTTTTATAGCTTGCATAACCCCCTTCAAAAACCCAAAAAAGGCACCCAGAATGACTCAATCTATCAAAAAGAACTAAAAACTAGTACAACCCATTTAAATTTCTAATAAGAAAGTCACAATGGCCCAAATTAAAGCACAAACTTACTATACTAGAAATCCAAAATCAAAAACTCAAAAATAACATAAAATTCTCCCTCCCTCTCACTTAGGCTTGGTTTGGTAGGAGGGGAGATAGAGTAAGGTAATGGACAAAATTTAAAATCTTCTTTGGTAGGAAGTTTCTAGATGGTAAGCTGAAGTGGAGGAAAGGGGGTGAGAAGAGAGAATATACAAAATGAACTAGAAAGTAAAGAGAAAGAAAATACCTCCAATTTGGAGGGTCACAAGAATGAGGTGAGAGAAAATGCAAAATGAACTAAAAAGTTATGGATTCCCCCTTACTCCCTCTCAACCAAATAATAAAAACAAAAGGTATATTACTCTTTACACTGCCTTAAACCTTACATTCCCTCATTGTACCTCCTACCAAACCAAGCCTAAAGGGGCATAGTTCCCAAATTTTCCAATTGGGATCAAATTCTAACACCACATAATTCCTCATCTGCATCAACCTTCACCCACTCTAGACCCCCCTCCTGAATTTTTTGGGATATATGAATGTGCTTAATGAGAGTGTGTTTATTAGGTTCATGGGGTTTTTCGATATTAGTCCCTGAAATCATCAATATTTTGATATTAGTCACTCAATATCATTAAAATTTGATATTAGTCCGCCAAATCATATACCCATATTGAGATTAGTCCCTCTAGTTAGGGGCTGTTTGATTTGGCTAGAATATTTTGTTAACATTAACATTAAGAGCAGATTGATTATTACACCCCTTTAATTATAAACCCAAACCCATTATTAGTGGATTCATACCCGTTTCAAACATCAAACCCATTAATATTATAAACCTAAACTTGTTTCTTGCCCTTTCTTCTTCCCTCCGCCCTCATGAACTCCTTAGACGTCTCCTTCATCTCTACTATAATTTGCACCTCAACCACCGCTCCATCTCAATCCTCTCTATCTAACTCATCATTGTGATTGAGACTCTGGCAACAACACCACCCAACTTATCCGCTCACTCTCCCAACCACAGTCCCCCAACTCCACCTTCTCCATAGTTACACCAATGTTAAAGCTCGACCACCCGATTTCAAACAATCACCCCCTCAACCTCATTATCAAACCCCCTCTATAGTTTCGTAACCTCCTTGAGATCTCCAACCTTTTCAGAACACTTCAATAAAGCTCGACATCGGCACCTATAATTGCCTCATCAATGGGTTGCTGAAGCAGAAGATGATCCATGAGACAATAATGTGTTTTCTCTATAAGCATAAGAAATTTGACAAAGCTCTCAAGTTGTTTGATGAAAATGTAAGAGAGAGAGTTGAGATAGGGTTAGAACTTGATGTAGTGGTTTATACTCTGGCCGCTAATGGATTTTGGGATATATTTCTTCTTGAAAAAGGGTCGGCTCTTAGATCCCTACGATTATGGGCTAACCTGACACCGACGCCATACTCCTCCTCATGAATTTGTCTGATCCTTGAGGATATTTGGGGGAGGGCGGGCATGATATAGTGGTGATGGTAGAGAGGTTTGAGGTTGGGCGATTGAAAGGAGGAGGGTAATGAGGGCAGTGGGGATATTTCAAGTGATGGATCTATTGGTAGTGAAGATAGTTGGAGAGGAAGTGATTAGAAATGGAAGGTAATTTAATAAATACTTATACATGGTTATCACTAACTTTACTACGGTTAACAGATTTTAACAGATTGTATGAAAGGAGGACTAATCTCAACATGGTTATATGATTTAAGGTAAGGCTGTCCAAAAAGTCCGCGGCGTCCGGCCGGGCGGAACCGGCACGGCCCGGGGTTGGCCCGGAACCCGGGCCCAGAAACCGGGCCTGGGTCCGTCTCGGCCCAGATAGTAAAAATTTTTGTTTTTTTATATGTAATATATATATTCATATATATATATATATATAATATTATATACTATATATTGTTATATATATACCACTCTCTCTTAGTATATAAGTATATAAGTATACAGTGTATACTCTTATATATGAGAAAAATGGGTATGCTTGGTACCAAGCACAAAAAGTTTGTGTTTGGTAGTGAGATGGCATCATCTCATTCGCTCATTTAAATGATTGCATATCCTCATGCACTCCTCAACCCATGTGAATGTGGTCCCCCATTTAAATGCGGTGGAGGGGATTGTGTCACCTCAACTAGAAAGCATACCCATATTTCTCCTAATTTTTTTTATATATAATATATTTATATATATATAATATCAATTTATTTATATATATATATATATATATATATATTATAATGTATATATTATATATATATTGTATATTATTATTTTATATTTATACTACTCATTTTAGAGTTATATAGTGTATCAGTCGTTTATGTATAGTATAATATATTATATTATAGTATATACTTTAGTATAATTATATATATATATAATATATACTATATATATATTATATAGTATATATATATACCCATAAGTATCATATAAGTTAAGAAGAAGAGAAGAGAGATGACGAAGAAGAGAGATAAATGGGAGGTGAGCTGGCAGCCGTAGGGCAAATATTCCTACGCTGCATAGTGTATGACATGTGAGCCCCCCTACTAGTTCACATTCGGTTGTGGGTCTCACATTATAACTTGCGCAGCGCAGGAAAATTTCCTACGCTGCCAGCTCACCTCCCGCTTTCTCTCATATATATATATATATAATATATATATATAATATTATATATATATATATATATATAATATATATTATATGTAGTATATATATATATATATATATTAATATATATTATACTATATATATTATACATAATATAATATATAATATAATAATTATATATATATATAAGCTATATGCATGGGTATGCCTTGGGTACCAAGCACAAAAATTGTGCTTGCGTAGTGTGGTCATATCCTTCCTCACTCATTCAATATATGGGACCCACATTCACATGGCGTATGTGAGGGATTGAGAATGACACAGTCACTACCAAGCACAAAATTTGTAATTAGTAACCAAGCATAACATTCCTCTCTCTCTCTCCTCTCTCTATATATAAATATATATAAAGATATATATATATATAACTATTAATATGATAATATAATAATGAGAAAACGGAGGTAGCTGGCAGCGTAGGAATTTCCTAACGCCTGCAAGTGTATGAATCTGTGAGCCTCCCTAATAGTCACACGTGTTGGGGCTCACATTGTCCATACACATGCCCAGCGTTAGAATTTCCTACGCTGTCAGCTCACTCCCGTTTCTCTCCTCTCTCTCTCTCATCTCTCTCTCTCTTGTCTTCTCTCTCCTCTCTATATAATATATATATATATATATCATATGATATATATATATATTATAGATATTAAATATATATAAATTAATATTTATATATATATTAATATATATATAATATAGTAATATCTATATAATATTAAATATATATATATATTATATATATATAATATATATACTATATATATATATATATAACTTTCTTAATAATATATTATATTACTATATAATAAGAGAGTATGACTATATATAGAATTAAGGTGTATATATATATATATATAATATATATATAGTATATATATAATAATATATAATATAATATATATAATATATATATATATTTACTATATAATATATATATATTATATATATATATAATATATATAAGGTATATTTCTCTTATATATGGTATATATCTCGTTATATAATTATAATATGTTAAGTATATCCTCTCTTAAATATTGTATAAGTATATATAAGTTACAGTGTATACTCTCTGTTATAAGATATCTCTCTCTTTTATATATATTATATATATTAATATCTATATATATATTATTATATTATATCTTATATATATTTAATTATATATATACATATGTATAATTATACTCTAATCTTATAATATTCACTAGTAGAAAATGAACAACTAGACGGAATCAAACTTAACGGAATTTTTTTCGTCTATTTTGAGCAAACTAGACGGAAAAAATAGATTCAAATGCCAGAATATTGTGATGCTAGCATGTTGTGAAACCAGATTTCAAATGCAGGAAATTATAGAAACGCCAAAATATTACAGACTGGATCGACTAATTGATTTAGATGTTACCAGAATGCCCATTCTTCTGATTCTCAACGATATGTGGTTGATAAGGGCAATTTGGCCATCCCATTCATGATGATAATCAAAGTTTGACTAATGGAACGAGAACCAGAGATTTAGCATTCGGAAATACCCATAATGGGCATTTTCCCTCTGAAACTACAGAAGGTTTCTTGTTGAGATTTTCTCTGCCATTCTTCAGAGTGCCCGTGGGCAAGTATGTTTTTGGCCTCTCAGAACCTTCAGCTTGAGCAAACAATCCGAAGACTCAGACCTTCTCTCCTTTTGCTGGCTGATACAATCATTGTTCTCAGTGGAGAAACTTCCCAGAGGTACTGACTGCATCTGCTCCAACGTTAGTTAGAGATTTGGGTTAAAAGTTTCCTACATTGGACCTAACGGGAGGAAGTGTTGCATCAGTGTTTTCCCATATGGGTTTTGTAGAGAAAATCATCATTCTTTAGAGAGACAAGTTGCTTTCAAGCTCTTTTACAATTTCAATCCCATCAAAATTGCGTGGGACGCAATGAAACTCTCTACAAGGCCGCAACTATTTATGATGGTTCGTTTGTCAATTATCCAATACAAATTTCTTCAATCTCAGAAAACTACAATTGATGTCAACAATGAGAGATCGTCTCTCTC